TTCTAGCTGGATGATTTTCCAGAAGACTTAATTATAAGTCTTCTACTAAGTCGTCCAGGATTTATGAGTATGTATTAAAAATTTGTGTTAGTCTTCTCAGATGACTAATAATTAAGTCATCTGGAAAGTCTTCTACTAAGTCGTCCAGGATTTATGAGTATGTATTAAAAATTTGTGTTAGTCTTCTCAGATGACTAATAATTAAGTCATCTGGAAAGTCTTCTAGCTGGATGTTTGATCTTCTTTGAATTTTACTAAGTTTTCTTGGTTGAATAGAGTGATAACAATATTTGATCAAATCCCGTAATGTTTGATCTTCTGTAAATTTTACTAAATTTTCTTGGTTGAATAAAGTGATAAAAATATTTTTTTGAATTACTTGTATTTTTAAAAGCGTTAAATAACTTCATGATATGTAAATCTCATATTTTCAAAATACTTTTTCTCCCTTAATTTTACTAAGTTTGACTAAGTTTTTCAACACAACCTTGTAAAACATGTAATATGCTTTAACACCAATGATGATTTGTTGGAAGAAAGGTTAAAATGCTTCTTAAAATGTTGTATCAATATGAGACTACCAACATTCTTGTTTATTAAGATGAGCAGAAGGCCATTGTGATTTATTATTGCATATGGGAGATCCAAAAGATGAAAAAAGCTACTGAAGTCTATTATTTCATTGATTTGTACATGTGTAAACACATTGTTAGCACATATATTACATCTTGGGAACTGATTTTACAAAACTATAATAGATCATTCCTTTACAAAGANAGCAGAAGGCCATTGTGATTTATTATTGCATATGGGAGATCCAAAAGATGAAAAAAGCTACTGAAGTCTATTATTTCATTGATTTGTACATGTGTAAACACATTGTTAGCACATATATTACATCTTGGGAACTGATTTTACAAAACTATAATAGATCATTCCTTTACAAAGACAAGCTTGGACTCCACTTGATATGAAAAAAGACAGCGTCAGAAAACTTTCAGAAAGTCCAGACAACTTCCAGACGACTTACATGAATTCCAGATGACTTACAGGAATTCCAGATGACTTACAGGAAGTCCAGACGACTTCTAGGTAAGTCGTCCCAGAAGTCTTTCAAGAAGACTTACAAGTAAGTCGTCCAGAAGACTTACAAGTAAGTCGTCCAGAAGACTTACAAGTAAGTCGTCCAGAAGACTTACAAGTAAGTCGTCCAGAAGACTTACAAGTAAGTCGTCCAGAAGACTTACAAGTAAGTCGTCCAGAAGACTTACAAGTAAGTCGTCCAGAAGACTTACAAATAAGTCGTCCAGAAGACTTACAAGTAAATCGTCCAGAAGACTTCTAGATCTGAAAAACCTGCATTTCAAGCCTAGATCTGAAAAACCTGCATATCAAAAAACATTCAAATGGCTTAAAACACACAGAAAATGAGTGAAAGATTAGATATATATATATATATATACTTTTATAGAACACATAACATACATATCCAAATGAAGATGAGAACATCTGATTAAAAACCTGCAAAAAAAATATAGATTAGTGAGAAAAACATGAGACATAACTGAAAAATTCATATAAAGTTAATAGATTTATCTTTAAATGAGTGGAATATGAGAATCATGTGATGAAAAACCTACAAAACAAGATAAGTTAATGAGAAAGACATGAGACAAAAACAATAAATTGATATAAAGTTTGGTGTTTATAAGTTCAAAGAGATTATAGAGAGGTTGGAGAGTTCTAGAAAGATGAAAATTACATTTTTTTTGTTGCAAACATTTGAGAGGAGGAGAGAGAATGTGTAAATTTTTCCTTATATAAGGAAACAAAAAAAAATTAGGTTAAATATTTTCGATTCAGATGACTGAAATATAAGTCGTCCAGGAGACTTTAATAATTTTAGCGGGAAACTAAAATAGAAGACTTTCGAGAAGACTTACAAGTAAGTCGTCCAGAAGACTTACAAGTAAGTTGTCCAGAAGACTTACAACTAAGTCGTCCAGAAGACTTATAACTAAGTCGTCCAGAAGACTTACAAGTAAGTCGTCCAGAAGACTTACAAGTAAGTCGTCCAGAAGACTTCTAGATCTGAAAAACCTGCATTTCAAGCCCAGATCTGAAAAACCTGCATATAAAAAAACATTCAAATGGCTTAAAACACACAGAAAATGATTGAAAGATTAGATATATATATATATATATACTTTTATAGAACACATAACATACATATCCAAATGAAGATGAGAACATCTGATTAAAAACCTGCAAAAAAAGATAGATTAGTGAGAAAAACATGAGACATAACTGAAAAATTCATATAAAGTTAATAGATCTATCTTTAAATGAGTGGAATATGAGAATCATGTGATGAAAAACCTACAAAACAAGATAAGTTAATGAGAAAGACATGAGACAAAAACAATAAATTGATATAAAGTTTGGTGTTTATAAGTTCAAAGAGATTATNAATTCATATAAAGTTAATAGATCTATCTTTAAATGAGTGGAATATGAGAATCATGTGATGAAAAACCTACAAAACAAGATAAGTTAATGAGAAAGACATGAGACAAAAACAATAAATTGATATAAAGTTTGGTGTTTATAAGTTCAAAGAGATTATAGAGAGGTTGGAGAGTTCTAGAAAGATGAAAATTACATTTTTTTTTGTTGCAAACATTTGAGAGGAGGAGAGGGAATGTGTAAATTTTTCCTTATATAAGGAAACAGAAAAAAATTAGGTTAAATATTTTCGATTCAGATGACTGAAATATAAGTCGTCCAGGAGACTTTAATAATTTTAGCGGGAAACTAAAATAGAAGACTTTCGAGAAGACTTACAAGTAAGTCGTCCAGAAGACTTACAAGTAAGTCGTTCAGAAGACTTACAAGTTAGTCGTCCAGAAGACTTACAACTAAGTCGTCCAGAAGACTTATAACTAAGTCGTCCAGAAGACTTACAAGTAAGTCGTCTAGAAGACTTACAAGTAAGTTGTCTGGTTTAAATTATTCAAGCGGAAAAATAAATTTTTTTAAAATTTTAGGTGGAATATTAGTACGACTTACTTGTAAGTTGTCTGTGTAAAATTATTTACCAGACGACTGATATTTCAGTTGTCCAGACCCTAAACCCTAAACCCTAAACTAAATTGACTAAATTAACTAACTAACCACATTATAAAATCAAATTATACTTAAATAGTGTTTACTATACACATAAATAAACACACTTAGGTAAATTTTTAATTTTTCAAAAAAACATTTATGCTTTCGAAAATCTAACCCTAAGAAACACATACAATACTACAACATATATTGGTGAAACCTAAACTAAAGAATATCATGACTCGCTACTTTCACTCATCTATGCTGAAAACAACTGATTTTTGTTATATTTTAATTTATATCTCTTAAGACATATGTTAATTACATAATCCCAATTTTTCATTTATCAAGATATTTATTACACAAATTTTAAATTATTTTTAAGAAAAACTGTCCCAGACGACTTTAAGTTAAGTCGTCTGGACGACTTTAAGTTAAGTCGTCTAGACGACTTAGTTGAAAGTCGTCTGGGCAGACGACTTACGAGGGTTAGAAATGTAAAAAGATACTTTTTTTTGTTTGTGACGACTTAGTTGAAAGTCGTCTGGGCAGACGACTTACGAGGGTTAGAAATGTAAAAAGATACTTTTTTTTGTTTGTTCACAAGGGGTTGGTTGTAATTTCAATAGCCTTTTAAGTTACTTTTGCATTTGATTCAAGTTTGGGTTTATTTTTGCATTTCAAATCAAATTTTGAGTCATATTTGGCAATTTTCCCTTAAGTTATTTCAAAAGAATTCTTTTGTTTTAAGTAATTTCACCATTGGTGACTAGATGATATAGTATAAAATGAATCTTCTATTTTTTGAGATAACATATAAGTAATTTGATGTTCCGCTTAAATTTATCACAATAATCTTTAAAATTACAATGTATATAATAATAAATAATTATAACATTAGTATGCCCACATGTGCGAAAAAATACCTAGTTTATTTACTATTATACGTGAAATGATTTTTTGCATTCGAGCTCTCATTATGAAATTTAGAGTGGTTAATATCAATACTACCCTTAATGAATAGTTATATATAATTTCTTATATAATTAAAAATGAATTTATATTAATAATATTAGATTTATATGTTATATTGGATAACTATTATAATTAATAAATAGTTATATTTGTTCATTATATAATTGATTATACATAAATGACTTAATTAACTATAAAGTTTGTCAAAAGATAATGATTTGTTTGATATTTTTCAGAAAAATAAAATACCTAAAATAATAAATAAGTATGTGTATATATTTATGAAATAACCAAAAAAAATTTCATTATCTATTCTTTAATTCCTTTTAAGTTATATAAACTTTTAATATTTTTATTTTTATTGACTTTGCTTTTATTTTAATTTTTTTTTAAAAAAATTATAAAATAACTAAATTTGTATGTGCGGACAAAACACCTAATTTCTGATTAAGAATTTAACAAAAGTTACAGTTTAAAACAATTATGAATGTTTGATTTAGTCCAGAGTAAGAAAATAAATAAGGTATCAGACCGGTATCGAAATTATTTATTTGAGTATTTTAAAAAGTTTTAATTAGTGAAGTTCAGTTTTATATAATTTTTTAAGAAAAGTTTGTTTCAACATAGACCAGGCATTGGCACGGTTGCTGGCATCCGGCAGAAGTAGTGGCCACGGATGAAAACGGCAGAGAGCCTCGATCGACTCTTTGTTCGGATGACCATTTTCGCCGAAGAAATTATCAGGAATTACCGTGCAAACGCGATTGTAGGCATCTTCCATCGCCTCGATTTAATTACCAAGTAAACAATACTATAGAGTTAAAAAGGTACGTAACTGATCTCAAAACTATTGGTGATGTAGGTGTCAAAATATCAAAGAAATGTTTGTTGTATACTAAATCCAAATGAGAAAAGTGTTCACAGTACTGGTCTATCTTTAATTAAAATGAAAACAATACATGGTCGTATTGGCAAAAATGATACAAACAAACAAGGATAGCATTTAACTTCTTAAAAAGTCATATTCTACAACAACATAAGGAGATACAAACATTACAAAGATTACACAAACTCTACAAACAAACTGTACCATCATCACTGGAGTTTAAAGTCGGAAAGCTACAACCAAAACTTTCAATTAAAAAAAAAAAGCGAGGAAAGAGATTGTAATTGTCGTAGTTATCTAACCGATCTGTAGGAAAAAAGGAGAGATAACTTTCATTCAATATCGTCAATCCAATCACCGTATATCCGACTGATTTTCTCCGGTCCTTTCCATTTCTGATGAGTTCTGATCCCAGGCTTCTGCGTAACTGCACAAGACGCTCGTTGCAATGCGACTCCACTATGGTAACCAGCATCTGCATGATGGGGAACTCCTGGAGATACAAGTGTCGTAGTGTCTGAATGCCCTCTCTGGTTTGGTCCTGTTTGCTTTATTTCTGGATTAGGCGATACTCCTCCGTCTTTGCCTTCTCCTTCTACGAGCCCTCCACCAAATCTATGCAACTCTGCGATTCATAAAGATTCAAAACTTTAAAGCTCCATGTCTTTGGCACTTTCTAACGTCATAAAGACCCAGGCTTTTTTTCCCATAAGAAATTATATCCAGTCTCATTTTTACAAGATTTCAACTTTCAAACAACTTATAACTCAGCCCTGTTTCATTATACTATCAGAACCAATCAACGTTGACTCTTATGCTTATAAAAGTCACTCAAATCAAACTCGTACGCTTCTCACTATCTTTATAGTATCTTATGTAGCTTTCCCAATGATTCGCTAGTCTCCTTATCACCCGTAAAATCCATCATCACTAGTCCATTCATGAAACCAAACCACCATTGATTAGACTTCTAGTACTCTTATAGTAAGTTTTTAACTAACAGAAAGCTAACGAAACACCCCCTCCCCCAAAAGAAAGCAGTTTCATAAGAGACTCAACAGATGGGATTTAATCATAACTCTCAACTTAGAGCTTGACGGTCCACTAATCTCAAATAACATTCTAACATAATCCAACCTACAAAAAAAGGAAAGCTTGTCCAACTACAAAGAGACCTTGAGATCTACACTCAAGCTTAAGCACACCGAGGAAAAGGCGGTAACTTTTACCTGCAGCTCCATGAGCAAAATGACACTTAGCACCAAAGGGACAATACCCAGTAATCTCCCATTTATTGCAAATCCTTGTCTTCCAATTTGAAGGCTTCAAAATATCAATTCCACCAAGCACTACTACGTTGCTATTACCACAACCAGAAGTACCACCACCGTAACCACCAGGGGCTAAGCTAATCGCGACGCTTTCTCTGTTCCTCGAAGCCTCGTCGTGCAGAAACGTACAGCTCTCTCCATAAGGACATCCTTCTTCAGTATAAAACTTCTTACAATGTCTTCCCTTAAAACATCTCCCACTCTCATCCGTCGTCGACGACACCAAAGACGGGATCTGATACTCTTCTCTCGGCTCAACAGCAGCAGTAGTAGGAGGAGTCCCCGTACCGGATCTCTCCTCCTCGTGAGCCGCCACGATCTCCTGCCAATTCGGCGGCGGACGACGAAGCTCCTCCACCGTGTGAGCGAAGTTGCAGTTCGTCACGTACGGACAAGTCCCCGCGCGGAACTTGCAGCATAGCTTCGTCTTGAAGAACATTTTCCCGATCGCTTTGGTACGGTTGCTCGCTGCGGCGGATGAAGGCGACGGAGAGCCTCGCGTCTTCTTGTTCGGAGGACCATTGTCGCCGTCGGGATTCACCGCCCAGACGCGGTTGTAGTCATCTTCCGTGGCCCAGACGGAGGTATCGCCGAGATTCGGATACCATTTCTCCGGCGGAGGGTTGTTTGTGGGTATCACGTGGACTACATCTCCGCTGGAATCACGCCGGTGACTCATCGCTCTAACCCTAATTTTGCCCAATCAATTTGTGAGTTCCACCAGAGAAATTACGGAAAAGCCGAGAAGTTTCGAGATTTCAAGGGATGACTCATCTCGGAAACATCAAATTCCGACAAAATTGGAGAAACCCAAGAAACAAAGATATTATAATGAAATGCGATAAAACTGGATTATGAGATAACACGAATGAGTGAAGAGAGAAGTAGTAATATATGATAGTAACTAAAGCTACTAAACACAATCGTCGTCCAGATTTGAAGAGATTAGCACAAGATATTTCCAGAAATCATTCATGTTCGCTGTGAGAAAAAAAAGAGAGGTAATTATATGTCTGTGTGGGATATTGGATGAGGTATTTATTCGGACAATAATTTAACCAAAGCTGAACAACAAAAAAGTTAACTACTCCCTCTGTGTCTTAATAAATTCTCCCTCCGTTTTATATTAAGTGTCGTTGTAGAAAAAATTTTGTGTTACAAAATAAGTGTCGTTTTCGGTTTTCAATTCAAAATTTATTAATTTTATTATATAATTTGTTTTTCTATTGGTTAAAATATGGTTAGGTATATGGGTAATTGTATTTTTATATAAGAAATATGTAAAATTAATTGTTTTCTTAATCTGTGTGCATAGCTGTAGAGTGACACTTATATTGAAACAGAGGGAGTATCTAACTAAATGATAATCGGTACCATGTACGGATTAAATTTATAAACCTAATTATATTTGATGATTTTGCATTTTAATAATAGCTAACATGTTACAAAAAATAAAAATAAATAATCTATATAAAATAGTAAACTGAAAGTGACATCATCATTTTTTTATAGGAAAAAAAAATTCAATCCAAGGGTCATAGTTAACTTGATTTTAAGATCTAATGGACCAAAAAAAACCCTTTCATATGATTGATGATGTCATCAAATATTTGACAACTCTTCATTGAAAAGGCATATATTTCATTTTAATAGTCACAATCATATTTGCCATACCTTTTCATAAATTTAAATATTAATATTGACTTTTTAGAAGATAATATTTGTATGTGTCGTGACCCAAGAGGTATGAACGTATCGTGATCCAAGAGGTACGAACGTGTCGTGACCCAAGAGGTACGAATGTGTCGTGATCCAAGAGGTGCAAACGTGTAGTTACCGAAAGGGTGTGAACATGTCGGGACCGAAAGGGTGCGAACGTGTCAGAACCGAAAGGGTGCGAACGTATCGGGACCAAAAGGGTGCGAACGTGTCGGTACCNTGCGAACGGTTCGGGACCGAAAGGGTGCGAACGGTTCGGGGCCGAAAGGGTGCGAACGGTTCGGGGCCGAAAGGGTGCGAACGGTTCGGGATCGAAAGGGTGCGAACGGTTCGGGACCGAAAAGGTGCGAACGGTTCGGGACCGAAAGGGTGCGAACGGTTCGGGACCGAAAGAGTGCAAATGGTTCGGGACCGAAAGGGTGCGAATTGGTTCAGGACCGAAAGGGTGTGAACGGTTCGGGACCGAAAGAGTGCGAACGATTTGGCCTCGCAAGAGTGCAAATGGTTCGGGACCGAAAGGTAGCAAACGGTTCGGCATCGAAAGGGTGCAAAGGGTTCGGCACCGAAAGGGTGCGAATGATTCGGCACCGAAAGGGTGCGAATGGTTCGCCACCGAAAGGGTGCGAATGGTTCGGCACTGAAAGGGTGCGAATGGTTCGGCACCGAAAGGGTGCGAATGGTTCGGGATCGAAAAGGTGCAAATGTACCATCACCAAAAAGGTGCGAATGTAACATCACCGAAAGGGTACAAATGGAACGTCACCGAAAGGATGCGAATGTAACATCACCAAAAGGGTGAGAATGTAACTTCACCAAGAAGGTGTGAATATAACATCACCGAAAGGGTGCGAACATAATGTTACCAAAAGTGAACGAACATAATATCATTGATACTTATGGATGCAAGTCATTAGGGTTAAGGCCGGGCCATCATGAGTGGTAAACATATTGTTCATGGTCGAGTGCTATGGACATATGAAACAGCCTTAAGGTTGTATATGAGTGGTAAACATATTGATCCATAATATGGATCGATGGCTCAAAAAGAAGTGTATATGAAACAGCCTTAAGGTTTTATTGTACCTTGTAATAAGTATAAAATGTATACATTTATATGTATGGTAATAAAAGCACATAGACAATAACATCAAAAAAAAAATTGAAAAATGGAAAGACATGACTCCTGATGGTAAATACTACACACCTATAGAAATGAATATACAATCCAAGGTGTATCGTGTTACACAAATTATGAAACTACTTTATAAAGTTTGTATGCCAAATTTAAATGTAAACCATTTTTAAAATTAAATATAAAAATAATCAGAAGAGGTTAATTATTTATTTGTTTCCTTAAAAAGACACTTTTAATGATATTTAACAAATCATAAAATATATTTTTCAACAATACTCCACCTTTCATTTTATTTGGCATTCACAACCTTTCACATTAATTGAGATTTTTATTAAGATACACAACTTTTCATTTAATTTGGCATCAGAACCTTTAGAATTAATTGAGATTTTTGTTAAGATACACAGCCTTTCATTTTATTTATTAAGAAACACAACTTTTCATTTTATTTTCTTAAAAAGACACAACTTTCCATTTTATTTTGCATTTACAACATCTCACATAAATTGACAGTTTTATTAAGAATTACAACTTTTCATGTTATTTGGCATTCACAACCTCTGGAATTAATTGAGATTTTTATTAAGATACACAACTGTAGAACTAATAGGTAATTTTATTAAGACACCAAACTTTTCATTTTATTTTATTAAGAGACACAACTTTTCATTTTACTTATTAAGAGAAACAACTTTCATTTTATTTTACGTTTACAACATTTCACATTAATTGATATTTTTATTAAGAGTCACAACCTTTCATCTTGATTGACATTCACAATTTTTAGAATTAATTGAGATTTTTTTATTAAGATAAACAATTTTTATTTTATTTGACATTCACAACCTTTAGAATTAGTTGTGATTTTTATTAAGAGACAAACTTTCATTTTATTTACTAAGAGACACAATCTTTCATTTATTTCTCTAAAGAGACACAAATTTTCATTTTATTTTGTATTTTCAACCTTTCACACTAATAGACATTTTTATTACGAGTCTCAATTTTTCTTTTTATTTGGCATTCACAACCTTTGAAATTAATCAAGATTGTTTTAATTAGTAGATTTTTATTACGAGAAGACACAACTCTTATAACTATTTTAAATATTTTTAAATTATTTTTTCTGAGACACAATTGTTTTTATAATGAAAAGATGCAACTTTTAAACTAATATATTTCAGTTTTTATGAAGAGATACAACCTTTCAACAATTGTTATATGAGAAGACAAAACTCTTACGACCTCTTTTAAATACTTTTAAACTATTTTTTCTGAGACACAAACTTTTTTTATAATGAAAAGATGCAATTTTTAAAATAATATTTTTTTTATAAAAATCTACCATTCTATTTATAATAAAAAGATGCAACTTTTAAACTAATATATTTCAGTTCTTATGAAAAGATACAACCTTTCAACAATTGTATTTTTCATCTAATGGTCCAAATAAATATTTTATGCAACTTTTATAATAATAGATTTATTTTTTGAATACACAATTATTTTTATAATGAAAAGATGCAATGTTTAAACTAATATATTTCAGTTTTTTTTATGAAAAGATACAACCTTTCAACAATTGTTATTATGAGAAGACACAATTGTTATTATGAGATTTTAAATACTTTTAAACTATTTTATCTGAAACATAAACTTTTTTAATATTGAAAAGATGCAACTTTTAAAATAATAGATAACTTTTTATGAAACTACACAATTCTATTTATAACAAAAAGATGCAACTTTTAAACTAATATATTTTGGTTCTTATGAAAAGATACAACCTTTCAACAATTGTTTTTTTCTTTTGAAAATACACAATTATTTTTATAATGAAAAATGAAACTTTTAAACTAATATATTTCAGTTTAATATGAAAAGATACAATTTTTCAACCATTGTTTTGTTTTTCATGCAATTGTCCTAAGAAATGTTTTTTATACATAAGATATTTATGGCATTAACATATATTTTCAAACAACACATCTTTTTACGTGAAAGAGTCACACGTTTTCATATTTGAAGGATTACAATCTTTAGTTATAATTGTTTTTTTTTTCTTCTAATTGTCTTAATAATTTTTGTACACTTAAATTAAAATTGCTATGAGCAGTTATTTTTTTCAAACAACACAACTCTTTAATCTGAAGAGTCATACTTTTCCCTAATTCTTGAATTTTTTAAATTTTTTTGAAGAGTTTCAATCTGGTGGTTGTAATTGTTATGGTTCTATCTAATGGTTCTGAAAATGTATTTGGTTGAACTTTTTTTTCCTTGTAACTCTTGAAAATATTCATTTTAAAACAAAACACAACTCTTGATAATCTATCAATGTACCTTTTCAGATTACTATAACTAGAACATTTTATAGATGTAATTTTTTAAGAAAATTTATGTGTTTTTTTCTAATATAGGTATGATTCTTAGTACTCTTGAATATAATGTTTGATTCATTATATAGTTCTAAACGATCTTTAAAAATTTAATGTGATGTCTGCAAAAAATAAGTTAATAGGTTTAGTTTCAGTGAAACTAAACTACCATATCCAAACCAATCTGGCTATAAGAAAACAATCTATATTTTTTTTGTAATCTCTTATTCTTCTTATGATAAAGTACATTCTTTTTATATTTTTCTAACCCAGTTTGTCTGGAGTTACCGAGTCTTATTGTTTTTTAAAATGTCGTTCTTTGCATGTTAATTACAGTGTTTTAAAAAATATTATATTATTTAATCTGAAAATTTATAAACTGTTCCATCAATTCAACAAATTTTAAAAGTTTGTTTTCTCATATATAAAAAGATAAAAGAAAATGACTGCGAGTTTAATATTAAAGTTTACTTTATATTGTTATGCTAAACACATAGCACTTAAATTTACACATTTTCAAACACAAATTATACTTTCACTCTTCTATTATATAAGATTATTTTTGTTTTGATCTTCATACAAAATAATTAGTTTATTAAATGATTCAAAATGATTAATTAACAAATATAATTTATATAAAAAAACTTTAAAAAAAAACATCATTTCTCCCGCGCGTCTACGCGCGGGGTGGTTTCCTAGTAATAATAATAATAGCTAACAATTATTCAATTGCCAAATATTATGCAGTATAACAAATATATTAAAGGGAAAATTTCAATTTTACCACATTCATTCTACAACTTTTCATTTTTACCTTTGCTAGAAAAACATTTTCATAAATACTTAAATCGTCAGTAGCTAAATGACTAAAATAACCTTTTTAATTTATTTGTGATTTCTTTTTTCTCGTTGTCGTCGTCAAACCTCACCGTCGTCGTTGTCATCGTCTTCATCAAGCTTTGGTGTCGTTTTCATCGAGATTTGTCGTCGTCTCCGACGAGATCCATCATCACTCTCTCTCACGCAGCCGGCGACAAGAGATTACGAGAATCGCGATTCAAAACCTCAAAGACGTTGGCTCCTCTCCACAATTCACACTGGTATGTTTCTAATTTGTGTATTTTTTGTTCGATTCAAGTATTGTTCAGATTTGTTCTTTCTATTTGTGTATGTGTCTGTGTTCCTCTTTCTCGTAGATCTGAATTGGTGCTTGGATTGCTTGGATTCGAAAGGAGAGGGTCATGTGGGTGGACGTGTAGAGCATACTCAGCGCGTGGAGAGCTCGAAGTCTCATTCCCTTAAGGGTCTCTACCTTCACAGCTTGACTGGAGATTCATGCTTAGTTTGTTGTATACATCATAACTCAGCTTTTGTCTGATTTGTTCATTTGGCTGCTTTGATATTTATAACATGCTTAGTTTGTTGTACACATTCTACTGCTCATGTCAATATGATTTAAGAACAATGAAATACTCCAGTTTAGTTTTGCTTTGCAGAATCAACATGGTGAAGTGGAACCAAAGTTTTTCGAGGAGATGACAGTTCTAGAAGTTAAATATCAAAAGTTGTATTAACCTTTGTATACCAAGGTACGGAAAAGAAATTTCATCATGTGATTACATGAACTCCCTACTACTGAAAGCTTGATTAATATAACTCCTCTTTGTTGTTTGTTCTACTTTCTGAAATTGTCCACTAAGACATGTACACCAGGGAGGGATTCACTAACTTTCCTATCACTTCTGAATTAGAACACAATGGTAGCTTCAAGGAGGAGGTGAATAAAATCGTTTACACAGCCGGCGACTACAGGAACAACCAATGAAGAAGAAACACATCTTCTTGGATAGACTGGGAGAGTTTGCATAAACCTGAGAGGTGATGGAGATTTCTTTTTTTTTTCCTGTTGAAAGGTCTCGGCTTGACTATATTTATCCGGGTATGTATACTCTCTTGATCAATGTCTAATAAAAGGTTTCACTATTGTTTGGGTTTCTTAACTGTGGTTAATTATTGTTTTCCTATACTTGCACAACTTGCGGATTTACTAGAGAGCTAATGCGAATGAAAATTAGTCAGCGTATCAGATGTTGAAATCACAGTGGATATGTGAGTCTATGTCCAACAGATTCATGGGGTATAATTTGATTGAAAAGGATAATCTTCTTATGCTCATCTCTTTATCTTTTTCGGTTTTTTTTTTAGCTTAACATATAAGAGATTGTGATATCAATGTTCATATTGAAGTGGTGATTTTTGCCTTTTCTAGGTGTGGCTCCACTGCTTCTTCCTTTTTCGTTACCTCACCTCAGTGGTGTACAAGGTTTATAAAAACTACTACCCCAAGTTGCTGATAAGAATGGAAGAACATAAACGCATGTTACAACGTCATAATGAACTGGTATGATTTGATTACATATGTGTGTCTGTCTGCTTTTGAAAGACCAGTAAACTTATGGAGAGTTTAAATATCTTTAGTTAAGACTTGCATCATTTTACTTCAACTTTCTTTAAGTGTTTAAACTAGTCTTGCTTTCACAATTACAGAGTTCCAAACATCAAATTCAATGTCGCTAAAGTGCTTCAGTCTCTCATTCCAATTGTGGATCAGTCGGTAAGTGTGTGTATATATATATTATTATCAGTCATAACATCCATATGGTTTGTTTTAATTTTTGGTTTGGTGGTGAAAAGGTTGTAGAGAAGACGATTCGTCCAGGGCTTGTGGAGCTAAGCGAGGATCCATATGTTGATGTCAGTTTTTTTGCAAACCAAGCTCTTCAGTCTATTGATAATGTGATGATGTCTAGCTAAGAAAACGTTTAGATCTTTGTCTTTATCTCTCTCTCCCTGGTTTTCTATTTGATGCAACATTATAAACTCTCAAGACTTTGGTCTAAATGTTAAGATTTATACCATTTTTTAGAGTTTACATGTTGTTGAGAACAACTTATTACAGAGAAAAGAACAATGAGCAAGATAGCAAAAGAGAAGGAGAGTAATAAAGCAAAGGAGAGATACAACACCATTAACTAATAAGGGGATAGAAACCAAAAGTAAAGCTCAAGCAGAGAAGCGACGCAGCGGTCGTAGCAGGATGAGTGATGTAGCGGATAGATAGGTGAACGGTCGATCTAAGAATTTAGGGTTCTTCGAGACATGTTCTTGGATCGATCAAGAGTTACTTTCGTTAGCTTCTCGAGACCAACTTCCTGAAGAAGATGAATTTAATCGAATCTTGTTCAAGGCAACTTAAAATAGATGAACTGAATCAAATCTATATCAAGGTATAAAGCAAAGCTTTATTTATTAATTATCAAAATCTGAATACATCATTAGGTTTGAATACCTATTTATAATAAAACCTTAAATCTAGAAAACCCTAATCTTAGTTAAAATAGGAAAACAATTCAATTATGGAAAATACAAATAAAAGGTAATTATCTAAATAAACTAATGAATAATAAATATATTTGGATAATTTCCAAATATCTTGCTGCATCAGGTCTCGCCGGCCAAGAAAGATTCGTCCTCGAATCTTCAATCTTGTCACCAAAATATGATTTTGCACGAATTTTGCATGTTGCTGATTTTCCAGAAAATTTTCAGAAACTTGATTCTGCACAACTTCACGAATCTGTATAAATCCAGATTCTTCACAAACTCGTTTTTGCACAAAATTTGCACGATCCAGATTCTCAAAAGAACCTTCTTTGAAGATGAAGTCGACATGATGAACATCGTCTTCATAAACATCGTAGATTGGATCACCATAGATCTCTCAATAGATCTCATGGTTCTCTTCTTTTTCAACAAAAGGACTTTCGTCCATGATAGGATAGATGCTAATACTCATCATGACATCTAGAATCGCCTTCGATTGAGAAACCAAAGGAACGCAGCTCTGATACCAACTGATGTAGCGGATAGATAGGTGAACGGTCGATCTAAGAATTTAGGGTTCTTCGAGACCTGTTCTTGGATCGATCAAGAGTTACTTTCGTTAGTTTCTTGAGACCAACTTTCTGAAGAAGATGAATTTAATCGAATCTTGTTCAAGACAACTTAAAATAGATGAACTGAATCAAATCTATATCAAGGTATAAAGCAAAGCTTTATTTATTAATTATCAAAATATGAATACATCATTAGGTTTGAGTACCTATTTATAATAAAACTTTAAATCTAGAAAATCCTAATCTCAGTTAAAATAGGAAAACAATTCAAATATGGAAAATACAAATAAAAGGTAATTATCTAAATAAACTAATGAATAATAAAGATATTTGGATAATTTCCAAATATCTTGCTGCATCAATGAGATAGAGACAAAAGCCTATCTCTCAAAGCCCGGTCCACCACACGGAAGAACACCTCTTGAGTCAAAGATACATCAGTGAAAATGCGCGCATTACGCTCGTGCCAAAGATTGTAGATTATGATTTGATTGAGAAGCTTCAGCACTGCTACTGCCCGAGAGGCATGAGGTCCCTGAAGTTGCCGGCACATGTCAAAGATTTATGCTAGTGAATGTGGAGGAGACGTCATAAACATGCCACAAAAACAAATCCAAGTAGCAGCAGAGAAAGGGCATCTGAAAAAGAGATAATCAACAGTTTCATCAGATTGAGAGCAACTAATCAATCGATCTCAAGTAGGTAACCTTCCAAGGAAGGTAGTCCAAGATATAAAAGAACATCGTGGAATTTCTTCCTTAAACCAAACCACAGAATGCCAATCTACATGAGTACCCGGTGTTCGGATCCTCTCCCAAGTCACTCGTGAAGAGAAAGAGGGACCAAACCCATCAGAATGAGTCCTCCACAGGTAAACGTCGCTATCACTTGTAGCAGAAGGGACTGGCATTGTTGAAAGGATAACCTGAAGCGTTTCAGCTAATTCCGATCTAGCTGGAGGAAGATTCCAGTGACCATTGGTCACTGACTGATATCACAAACATAACCCACTCCAGCAATACTCTATTATTCATTTCAACAATCAAAACCCTGAAACAAAATTACTCCAGTTACGGAAATGATCAAAATATTTACAATACCACTATTTACAAAATCAACCACCTGGCTCTTGTAGCATGCTGGTTCTACGGTGGCATTTTAATGTGCAACGTGCGACCAGTTCGAAGCTTGAGCAAGGCATCCAAAGAGAGAGCGACCAAGAAAGTAGTAGAACAGTAGAGAGCGTCTTGATACATTAATCAAATGAGGTATTTCTGAATATCTTTCTTTTCCGGCATCTCCTAATTACATAACAAGAGAAAAAAAGAGGTATGCAAATGTTTCTTTTCATTCTAATAGCATCTTTATCGCGGGTATTTCACCCTGTATCTTAGCCTTTTTAGAATAAAAAAAATGAAAATTAGCTTTAATGAGAATATACATATCTTAATTAGGGATTACAAGACACGGTTTTCTGGGACACGTGTTGCCATGTGCTCTTTCGTGTCTCTCTCCCTTCCTCGCGTGCGGAACCACATATTGGATCACTCTAGTGCGGCACGACTCTGAGTCTCCACGCGACACAAACGTCCGACGCCATCGTCTCTCTCTCTCGTTTCACACCCTAACGAATCTCCGATCCGATGAATGAAGAAAACGAACCACCATGCGCTACACCAGCGCCCCCGCCTTGGCGTAACCCTCCGTCATCACACTTCACCGACATATTCAATTTCAAAACTCCGAGGCATCCTTCCGTTATCAAGCCAAATCTCAGCAACTCTCCGTATCCTCAATTATTGACCGCTCCAAAAAGTCGATGACTTTAGGTTGGTCTAGTGAGAAAGGATCATGCTTGAATAGCTCCAAGTATTCAACGTTGAAGGACTCTTTGAAAGAAGTGTGTAGCTTAGATGATTTGAAGCTGAGGATGCAATTTCACTTGACTTGACAAGTTGCAAGGAGATTTTCGATGTGCTCACCCATGTTACCAAGGTAAATTATCCAGAAAAGCATCTCTCTTGTGTGCTCTCTTGAGAAAACATTGCCAAAGCTATAAGCTTTTTTGATTGTCTCTTTGGAGAATTTTCGGTCAAACCACTTAGACTATGGTTTGATACTCTATTTCAATCTCTTGGTGTCTGAATTTGCCCTGCTTTTCAGTTCCCAGATCTTTGAATTATTGATTGGTTTAGGGTTTTTTGTGTGCTCTCTTGAGAAACATTACCAAAGCTATAAGCTTTTTGATTGTCTCATTAGAGAATTTTGGGACAAAACATTGGCATATGGTTTGTTTCAATCTCTTGTTCTCTGATTTGCCCCTGTTTTCAGTTCCGGATCTCTGCTCTGTTGTTTTGTTTTAGGGTTTTGAATATATATAAGCTTTTTGATTGTCTCTTTGCTTACACAATGATTTTGATTCTCCTGCAGTGTCACAATGGACATACTCTATGTTCAACTTGTAAGAACAGGGTTCACAATCGCTGCCCTACTTGTAGACAAGAGCTTGGTGATATCCGTTGCTTGGCACTCGAAAAAGTAGCTGAATCTCTTGAGCTACCTTGCAAGTACATCACTTGGCTGTCCTGAGATATTCCCTTATTACAGTAAGCTCAAACGAGACTGTACGTAACTTGGATTTGTTTCAGGTTTTTCATTGCTTTGGTCAATGCTTCTGTCTTCATTTTTTTTTTAAATTCATAAATAAGAAACTTGCATTGGAGGATGAAAATTTAGTGGTCTCTTAAACAAAGTTTTTATCACACATTTATTACTAAAAAAAAGATTAAGAGACCCATTAGGGATTGTAGGATAATGATACTTTAACTCTAACGAAAATATTTCGAAGCCAGGAAAGGGGAAAATGGCAATTTAATCCCCAACTATTTCAAATTAGCAAGTTTAATACCAAACTATTGGTTGCATGATTTTAAACCCCAATAAAGTGTTGACTTGGCAAATTAAAGACCTAAAAAGTCAGACGTTACGTGATCTCCAATTTGAAATCAACTCAAGCAAAGACGATTGGTGATGAGAGAAGGTTGCTCTTACCAACCAAAAACGACTTGGTAGATTCATTTCTATTTTTCTCCTTAAAACCATACTAGATAAGCTAAGTTGAAGCTTCTGAGGCAGAGCGAAAAAAGGGAGAGTTGTTCTTGACTGATAATACACTATCCAACCAATACTAAAAAGAATTTCTTTGCTCTTTAGTGAAAATGATGACTGTTTTTATTTTACCGTTAAGACCTCTCACTTTGATGTGGATATGTTTTAGCTTTCTCTTCTAGCAAACAAAATTCTAGAAAAAGAACAACGGAATCAAATTTTTTTGCAAGCTCTGTTGTTCAGACTTCAGAGCAAAGATTTGTGGATGCCGCGTGACTTGTCTTAGGAAGAGCAACCAAGAAAACACAAATTTTATAACATGAAGAGCTTATTTGGTATATACATGGGGGCCTGAGTATTGCAAGTCATGTCCTGAAAGAAGACAGAAATCATAAAAGATAGATGTGAAATTCTCTACATATACAACCAATACTCTATAAATATTCAGCTGCAGGCCATCTCCTCAAGAAAGACAAGGTTATAAAGAAAGGTGTATAACTCTACAAATAAAACAATCTTCCATGATGTCAAGCTCTTTGGTTCCAAACTCTGTTTTCTATATTTGTGGTCTTATTTTACGAGACTTTGTTATGATGAACAAGTTACATGAAGCTCCTAGCTACATCAATGAAATACGTGAATCTCAAGGATATACTCCTAAATCCTACCATGATGTTAACTTTTTACAAAAAAAAAAAAAAACTCACAGCTTTATAGAAAAAGTAGTAGAAAGAAAACAATGCTAGTGTA